CGATGTCTATAGGGATCTTACGCAATTCGAACAGTTGTGCCAGGACCCGGAGCCCATGCCCCATAGCATTTCCCACCTCTACTCTATGCTACAACGACAACAGGGACAACCCCCACCCCCCTTCATGTCCAAATGGGAGACCGCCATAGGAGAAACACTTACCGAGACCCAGTGGCACAAGATCTGCGACCTAGTGCACCACTGCGCAATTGCTAGCAAAACGCAGGAAACGGCCTACAAGGTCCTCACACAATGGTACTTGACACCAGAACGCTTACAGAGAATGCACTTAGACACGGACGGCCTCTGCTGGAGGTGCAAGAGAGGGGTAGGATCCTTCCTCCACATATGGTGGGAATGCCCACTCATAGTACCGTTCTGGGAGAAAATAGCTGCCATGGTGGCCCTATTCACGGATAATGTCCCACCCTTCCAGCCCGCCCCGTACTGGAAGGCACCACACGACAACCCCCACACCACGATACAAACGCTCCCTGACCATCCGCATTCTTAATGTCGCAAAACACCTAATACCTTTGTACTGGAAAAAAGACACAACCCCAACGCTTTCCCTGTGGTTTACTAGAATGGAGGAGTTACGAGTAACGGAGGAAATCTGGTACTCAGCCCAAGACCGAATGCAGACATACCTAGACACATGGACACCCTGACTGACACGGGTGGGAACGGAGGCATTCCGAACTGTGCATTTGACCATGGGGGGAGGAACGGACGACCCCCAGAAGGAGACACCGGGAGCCTAGCGGGACGACCCACACCTGGCCCAAGACGCAGTACCCCACCCTACCCCACACACTGGCGGGTCCGGGAGGAGCACGGGCTCGGGACGCGGGGGGCCGCCCCCTCAGGGGCGTGCTGTGGGGGGTATGATACCTGTCGGGGTGCGGCCACCTGCAGTGCCCAAAATGGCTTATGGCCCCGCGGGTACGGGGGGTAGAAAGAGCGCCAGTTCCGCGAGTTACAAACATTACTAGTTTAGATGGAAACGCAGGATGCCCCTTAGGTTACTCCCATCCACACCAATGTATAACGCTGGGCAGAGCCGAATTGTACCAGCGTAGGGGGTCAACACCCCACTATACCACCATCTTGGACCTTAGACACGGGGTCGCAAGGAGGCTGCGTGCCCTGATGGGACCCTACACAGTAGGTACCCCACATGTCCTAGGACTGCATGGTGGCTACAGGGCGGGCATGGGGGACTAGATGAAAATTGGCAGGACATACAAAACTACCCAATGCAGAAATGGTACACGTCAGATCTCACAAAGTACTATTCGTAACTATGCACACACCATTTACTCAAGAAAGCGACCTGCGAGTCGCCAAGACACGTCTAACAGACTATGCCCTATAATGTATAAACATGTACAAATGACCAAAGGGACTCATGCGTGTCCATGTTTTTCTGTTCCATGTTGATAATGAAAAAACAAAGCAAAAAAAAAAAAACAACGAAATGTTCAATAAAAACATATTTACAAAAAGGATCCGGTAATCTCCTATACCGAGTATAAAAAGGACTCTCCTATACTGGGGAATAAAGGTTCCAGTACTCTCCTATACTGGGGGAATAAAGGATCCGGTACTCTCCTATACCGAGTATAAAAAGGACTCTCCTATACTGGGGAATAAAGGTTCCAATACTCTCCTATACTGGGGGAATAAAGGTTCCGGTACTCTCCTATACTGGGGGAATAAAGGTTCCTGTACTCTCCTATACTGGGGGAATAAAGGTTCCTGTACTCTCCCATACTGGGGAAATAAAGGTTCCGGTACTCTCTTATACTGGGGGAATAAAGGTTACAGTACTCTCCTATACTGGGGGAATAAAGGTTCCGGTACTCTCCTATACTGGGGGAATAAAGGTTCCGGTACTCTCCTATACTGGGGGAATAAAGGTTCCTGTACTCTCCCATACTGGGGAAATAAAGGTTCCGGTACTCTCTTATACTGGGGGAATAAAGGTTACAGTACTCTCCTATACTGGGGGAATAAAGGTTCCGGTACTCTCCTATACTGGGGGAATAAAGGTTCCAGTACTTCCTATACTGGGGGAATAAAGGTTCCAGTACTTCCTATACTGGGGGAATAAAGGTTCCTGTACTCTCCCATACTGGGGAAATAAAGGTTCCGGTACTCTCTTATACTGGGGGGAATAAAGGATCCGGTACTCTCCTATACTGGGGGAATAAAGGTTCCGGTACTCTCCCATACTGGGGGAATAAAGGTTCCGGTACTCTCCTATACTGGGGGAATAAAGGTTCCAGTGCTCTCCTATACTGGGGGAATAAAGGTTCCGGTACTCTCTTATACTGGGGGAATAGAGGTTCCAGCACTCTCCAATACACCGGTACTCTCCTATACTGGGGGAATAAAGGTTCCGGTACTCTCCTATACTGGGGGAATAAAGGTTCCAGTACTCTCCTATACTGGGGGAATCAAGGTTCCGGTACTCTCCTTTACTGGGGGAATAAAGGTTTCGGTACTCTCCTATACTGGGGGAATAAAGGTTCCAGTACTCTCCTATACTGGGGGAATAAAGGTTCCGGTACTCTCCTATACTGGGGGAATCAAGGTTCCGGTACTCTCCTTTACTGGGGGAATAAAGGTTACGGTACTCTCCTATACTGGGGGAATAAAGGTTCCGGTACTCTCCTATAGGGGGAGGTCAAAAAAGGTTTTATTCTCCAATTGTGATTTTAGAAACTCTCTTATCTGTTTTTTACTAGAGATGCCCTGTATTTCTCTTATTCCATTCTGCATAACTCTGTTCAGCTATTTTTCTACCTAATATCAGACGCCTATGTGTACCTTGCTCTGGTAGTCGAAGGGTTAACCCAAATCCGTCTCCCCCTCCTCAGACCCCCCACCCCCTCCTCTGACAGCCTTTCTGCTCATTAAGTGGAACTCGCTCCTCAGCCCAACACTGAATTTTAACAAATATCAGCAAAACCAGCAATGAATATTTAATGGGATTTTTTACATTAAATCCACCTTTCTCCCCCTTGAATGGCAGAAATTTGCAATTTAAGGTTGGTTTATTCAACAGAGAAGGCGGCAGCGCATCTCTCCGGTTACAATGGGGTGCTGGAGACAAAATAATTGGATTTTAGGGAAGAAAATAGGGAGTGCCTAGCGATGTATGCAGGCAAATAACATACCCCGAGACATGGCAGCAACATAGGCTGCGCTGTTAATTAGTATGCAGAATCGCGGGCAAAGAAAGCCAGAGATAAGGTTTTACACCCAAATTAAGATTAATTTCATACTGTGCCCCGCTTTACATATTTCAAAGCTGTTAGAGCTGTAATTTCGCCCTGTGCCCCACTCTCACACACTGCAATCGTTTTATCTTTTCTATGTATATTTCCATTAAGTTTCCCGCTTTCTATATCCGCCAGACAACATCACGTCTTAAACTCAGAAAGGGACCCGGCCCACAGAGTTTATCCACAAACAGGGGATTATAGGGAAATGAAAATCGAATTGAATGCAATTTAGACAGAAATTGTATATTTGTAAAAATTCTCCCACTATAGAACGTTCAGCTATTTCAGTTTACACTTTACTGCTCAGAGTTAAATTCACTACAGTTCGAAGTTTATTGAATGGCTGTGTGTGTATATTTCCCCTAGGTTATCAATAAATAGTTTGGTAAACCCCCTACTGTTAAAATATATTATACCTCCCGCAGTCTGTTATTTACTGTGAAACCGCCCCAAATACCCCCTTGCACCTGCCATAGCCCTCAACATCCCCTAAAACATGTATATACATTAAAAACCACCCATTCCATAGCCCCAGATTATTATTGACCCCCACTCTCCAGCTGCCTCCACTAAAACCTGTAAATTGCCCCCACGCACCCCACACGCCCGGCTAGTGGTGTGACACTGCCTGTCTCAGCATCCATCACCCACCCCTGCACCCACACACGCTGGATGCTGTAGTCAGTCTGTCGCCATGGTTACAGTCTCACTGTGTTTTAATGATAGGGGGGGCAGAGTGTGAATTTGGAGACAGAACGGATTCGTAACAAAGAGGAGGCAGATTCTGGAGTGGGATCAGACATTAAACTAATGCTGAATTTTTATAGAGATTGAATACTAATATAATAATAATAATAATAATGTGGGTCCGATTAACGCTCCCTGCCCACACGTTGCCCGATGCTGCTGCCGTGGAATGTACCGTGGCATGCACGTGGTTTGTAGCTAAGCACAGATATCACCGCTGGCCAGCTGAGCACCTTGGGAGTCTCTGTCCATAACGCCAATTGGCTCTCTGCATATAGAACCGAGATAGAGGTACAGGTCCAAATGGATGGGCTTGTGACACAGCTGCACCAATGGTGACACCAACAGGGGACAGCCTGGCGTACTGACCATAACACTAGGGGCATATCAGCTAAGCTGGGGGCCATAGCATTGGGGGTATGTCAGCCTGGCACACTGGCTATAGCATTGGGGGTATGTCAGCCTGGCACACTGGCTATAGCATTGGGGGTATGTCAGCCTGGCACACTGGCCATAGCATTGGGGGTATGTCAGCCTGGCACACTGGCTATAGCATTGGGGGTATGTTAGCCTGGCACACTGGCCATAGCATTGGGGGTATGTCAGCCTGGCACACTGGCTATAGCATTGGGGGTATGTCAGCCGGGCACACTGGCTATAGCATTGGGGGTATGTCAGCCTGGCACACTGGCCATAGCATTGGGGGTATGTCAGCCTGGCACACTGGCTATAGCATTGGGGGTATGTCAGCCGGGCACACTGGCTATAGCATTGGGGGTATGTCAGCCTGGCACACTGGCCATAGCATTGGGGGTATGTCAGCCTGGCACACTGGCTATAGCA